TGTGTGTTGGGTGAGTGTGTCTTATGTGTATGCCTTCCATATATATGTCTCGTGTATGTGTGTATGTGTGTTGGGTGAATGTCTCATGTATGTCTCGTGTGTGTTGGGTGAGTCTGTCTTATGTGTACGTCTTCCATGTGTATGTCTCACATGTGTGTTGGGTGTGTCTTGTGTGTATGTCTCACGTGTGTGTTGTGTGTCTCATGTATGTCTCTCGTGTGTATGTCTCACGTGTGTGTTGGGTTAGTGTGTCTCTTGTGTATGTCTCTTGTCTGTCTTCTCCCTAAAGCGTCTGGCTACTTCAGCTTAGGCTAAAGGGTTTCAGTAGCTCTATGACAGATAGCAGTGTTAATGCTATACACCCCCAGGATTCCGTTTACAGGGAGGCAGAGGCAAGTTCATGGTGAAGGGCACAATTGCTACAATATTGCCATTCACTGCAGTCACCGCAACTGTCTCCTTCCTTTCCTGTCTCTGCCACGCTTGTAGGGTGGCTTGCAATATTGTAGCAGCTGTACTTTGGTTCCCATTAACCTGTCAGCCTTGTGGGCAAATCATTCAGCTGGTGTTTTGTGTTTTGTGTTGTTTTTTTTTTTCAACTAAGCACCTGGTTAGAGAGATGGGAGATGGAGATGACCTGGACCCTGCCCATGGGAAACTCCTAGTCTGGAAGGAGACAAGATTCATAACCAGGGACAGTTCAGGACACAGTATAATCAAGGGCTGAACTATGGATCTCAAAACAGAGAGAGCTCACTGAGGGCTAGAGCAGGCCTAGGAGGCCCTGGCAGAAGTATGGCTGGAGCTGGATCTTGAAGGATGGAGAGGATTTGGAGAGGTCTGGAAGGGGCTGACAAGGTGGAGGAAGTGGTGGGCAAAGGTTGGAATGAAACTGATGTGCCTGGGCAGGAAGACGGCAAGGATTCCCCAGCTAGCTGGGAGGGGCTGATGTCAGGTAGAAGAGACTAGAGTGGGAGGCTTTGGCCAAATTCTGGAGGATCTGATTGACTCCGTGGATAATAGGAGTCACTACAGGTGTCTGAGCAAGAGTTGGGCTGGAGCCTAAGGGAAGGGGGATGTTGAATCAGGAAGCTGGGGAAGTGGAGGGCAGGACCCATGCTTCATTTACGAGCTGGAGCATCCAGGTTGAGTCACATATCTTGGTGAAGGGGCAGGAAAAGGAAGCTATCACCAGCTAGAGTAACAGCCACCTCCTGCTAACCCTATCCGGGAGCTCTTCCTGTTTTCTACCAAAGCCATCCCCGAGGCTTGAGTTTCTCCTTTTCTGCAGCCTTCATTTGCAGGGGGTGGGCCCCCATGAACCCGATTGCCTTAGAGATCATCTACTCCCAGCCTCAGACTGGGAGCTTCTCCGGGGCAGCACCAAGTTCATCTCCATCTCCCACCCTTCTAAACAGGGGCTTAGTAAAGACCCACTGAATGAGTAATATAAGGCCAACAGGTTAATGGAATCCAAAGAGCAGTGGTTACTGGACTGTAAACCATTCTACAAGTGTGGCAGTTGGGAAGGGGGGAAAGACAGTTGCTGTGACTGCAGTGAATGGCAATATTGTAGCAATTGTGCCCTTCACCATGAACTTGCCTCGGAGGCCTCTGTGTAACATTAATCCTGATGTCTGTCATGAAGCCCCTGAAACCCTCCTCTGGCCCACACTGAATTAACCAGATGCTTTAGGGAGAAAACAGGGAAACAAGGGACTTGTCCATGATCTCTGGCCAATCAACGGAGCAAAGAACTTAGGTCTCTTGACTTTCAGCCTAGGGCTTTCTTCACTCTACCACAAAACTATGAAAACTGCTGTACTGGGAAGAACCCTGGAACTGGCGCTGAAAGATTTTCTTTTGAGTTCTTGCTTGGCTCCTTCCAAGTGGTATGACCTCTTTGAGCCTGGAGTTTCTCTCTCTTTAAAATGATGGTAATATTACTTATGCCACCTACCTTACTGACTTTGTAAACCATAAAGTGTTGGAGAAATGTTAGTGAATGATAACCACTTACTTTTTTTTTGTTTATTTGTTTAGTTTGGGTTTTTTGTTTTTTTTTTTTTGGCTAGGCAATGGGGTTAAGTGACTTGCCCAGGGTCACACAGGTATTAAGTGTTATGTGTCAGAGACTGAATTTGAACTCAGGTCCTCCTGAATCCAGGGCCAGTGCTCTATCCACTGCGCCACCTAGCTGCCCCTTGATAACCACTTACTTTTCCAAAATATATAGAAGAATACAAGTTTACCTGTACCCTCTCTAGCAGTTTCCCCAACTGTAAGATGAGTGGGTTGGACTGGTTGGCCTTCTGTGTCCAGAGGTCCCTTCCCATTGTAAATGGGAAAAAAGTCCCTGACCTTTTTTTGTGATTTTGAGATTTGTTGATCAAAGCTAGATCCTTTATTTAGTTTAGTTTACATAGAATAGTAGGACAAAAATGCAGGTAGAAAAATGTTAGAAATCCTAAGTAAAAGCTAAAGACAGGTAGCCCTTTAAAAAAAAATGCCTCACACAACTAACTGAGGGCGATCCGGAAAGGAGACATTTACCATTTACTGATGCCCTCTGGGGTTGGACCTTGGTCCTGCCTGAAAGGGAAGACAAGGGCACTAGTTCAGGCCCTAGCTCTTCCTCCCAGTTCTTGCCTAGCTTCATCTCTGAGCCACTTCGGAACTCAAGGCTACCCCAGGGTCTGGAGGATTGCAATCTGCCCTAGAGGTGACCTGTCCAATAGAGGGAGAGATGCTGACAGATGGAGCTGGTGAGAGGGCTGTCTGTCAGAGAAAGGAGAGGGAGGGGGTTTGCTGATGCCACAGAACTGGCCACATCTGGTATTTGGACAGCACTGTCACCAGCTAATTTTTTGCCCAAGGCCAGAATATAAAATTGTGGCCCCTCTCACCTAGTGTCATGGCATGCTTGGGATAGTAGATGAATATTTTATAGATTTTTGGCACCCCTCAGCTTTGCCTGCCTGAGGCAAGTGCCTCAATTGAATAACCCTTGTTAGGGCTCCAAATTTGGGAGTGCAGAAAGCAGCCTCCCCCCAGACAGGCCCTTGTCTGATCACTGTCCCTGGGGCAGCACTCCTGGCCAGAAGCTCCTGGGTGTTCTTGGACAGTGGGAGAAGTGGGTGGCTCTCAGGCGGCCCCTGGTGGTAGCCAAAGGAACTTCAGCTTCCAGTCTTCTCCCAATTTGTTGTTTGGTGGTTTCGGTCATGTCCAACTCTTCATGACCCCATTTGGGTTTTTTTTTTTGGCAGAGATACTGGAATGGTTTGCCATTTCCTTCTCCAGCTCATTTTACAGCTGAGGAACTGAGGCAAAGGGGTTTAAGTGACTTGCCCAGGGTCACACAGCTAGTAAGTGTCTGAGGCCAGATTTGAACTCATGAAGATGAGTTTTCCTGATTCCAAACCCAGTGCTCTATACACTGTGCCACCTCGCTGCCCATCCCCTCTCAATACACTGCCTGTTTCTCCTCCCTAATTGCTGCAGGAGCACCCTACCTGGCCACAGAACCATGCCAGCACCCAGCCTGCCACCTTTCCTGGTGCTGAGGACCTGGACCCACATCCTGCTCCAGATCCTGACCTTGATTCTGGGAGCTGTCCAGGGCCTCTTCCCCGAGGAGCCTCAACCCCTCACAGTGGCACCACGGGATTGTGAGTTGGGGGCTTTGAAGTAAGGCTTAGGGGGAATAAGAGGGATATTGGGGGAGGGGAACCTAGAGAGTTTGTAGGAAAAGGAGGTCATTGTGGAGAAAGATCCCGCAGACCCTCTGCTAGGATGCCTCCAAGACCCTGAAGCATTCCTTCCCCCATGGTCCTGGAACAGGAGAGAGGAGGGGGTATCCCCAGGAGTCATTCTCTAGAGTTGGCAGCTAACTTTCCCTTCCCTGTGGCCCACAGACTTAAAGCAGTACCCAGTGTTCACAGGCAGTGGTCCAAGCCGCTTTCCTCCAGCCTCCAGCACCGAAGGGCTCAACATTCAACGTATGCTTCGGGTCAACAGGACCCTGTTCATTGGAGACAGGTATGGGCAGGTAGACGTGTTTGAGTAAATTAGCATGTTGTAGGGAAGGGTTGGCATGATATCATCTGGAACTCATTAGCATGTGGTCTGTGTGTTGCCATATTGAATGTTAACGTGTATTTGTTCCTGGGTTGGGCTGTGTTGGCTTGTTGGGGTAATTAGCACATCGGGGTACAGGAAGGCATGTTAACATTATATGTTCCTGTATCGGAATGTGCTAGTGGATGCCGTGTTTGTGGCAGGGTGGTAGGGAAGGGCTGCCCAGAGGGTTTGTCTGGATGCCCCCCACCCTCACTGAGCCCCAGGTCCCCCTCACAGGGATAACCTGTACCGAGTAGAGCTGGAACCACCCACGGCCAGTGAACTGCGCTACCATCGGGTGAGTGGGGGGCGGGGGAGGACCTCATCTGGTTGGGCTGAGGGAGGCAGGGAGGGAGATAGCCCAGAAGCAGTCCTCACTCGGTGTGCCTCCGAGACACCCCCTCTGTCCCTTCCAGCCACGGGGACTGGCTCCCTCCCCCCAGACTCTGGAGAGCTGCGTCTGGGAGGCCATCTGGCCAGGGGAAAGAAGATCATTGGATCAGAGATTTTAGAACTCGAGGTCATCTAGCCCAACCCCCCATTCTGCCACCTTATCACCTCTCTTGCATACAAATAAGGAAACTGAGGCTCAGGGAGGTAAGATGACTTGCCCAAGGTCACACAGAGAGTAAATGGCAGAGCCAATATTTGAACCTAGACTTCCTAACCCAACATATTTTGTACTACACCATGCTGCCTCCCTGAGCACCTGTGTGCTGGATTTAAAGTGAGAAGAGACCTCTGTTCAAATCCTGACTCTGATGCTTACTAGTTGTTTGACTCTGGCCAAGTCACTTTGCCTTGCTAAGTCTCAATTTCTTATCTCTAATATGGGGGTAATAACATAGTACCTATCTTACAGACCTGTGAGGATTTACATTGTAAATCTGAAAGTGCTACAGAAATGAGAACTTGGTGTTGTTATTGTTATTCCCAGCTGTAGAGATTGTGTCCCTCCCCTACTCAGAACCAGCCTCTCTTCTCTTCTTTCCTTCTCTTTCCTTCTATTCTCTTCCTCTCCTTTCCCTTTCCTACTCCTCCCCCCTTCCTCCCCCTTCTCTCTCTTCCCTCCCTCCTCCTGTCTCTTCCTCTTTCTGCTTCTCTCTCTGTCTCTCCGTGTATGTTTCTCTCTGTCTCTGTCACACACACACACACACACACACACACACACCCTAGCCTACCTGAAAACCACCCAACCCTTCCATTCCAGCCATGAGCATTAGCTCCTTTCCCTCAGCCTTATGGCACTGATTCTGTTTCCACAGAAGCTGAGCTGGCAGTCAAATCCAAATGACATCAGCATCTGTCGGATGAAGGGGAAGCAGGAGGTAAGCTGATTTTCTCCCCATTCCAGGCCCAGACAGGGAAGGCCATTTTCATACTCGTGCCCCTTCCCCAGGACTGTCCTGGTGGGTAGCCCTAAGCCTTCCCCTCCAATCCCCATGATGCTTTTCTTCTTCCTCAGGGCGAGTGCCGTAACTTTGTGAAGGTGCTGTTGGTTCGAGATGATAACACCCTCTTTGTATGTGGGTCCAACGCATTCAACCCTATCTGTGCCAACTATAGCGTGAGTCTTGGCCCTACCTGGTACTGCCCATATTCCCACCCCAGGGCTGTGCCAATCACAGCATGAATCCCAGCCCTATCCTTACCTCTTGCCATGCCATTAGGTGAGGGTGGATCACAATTTTCTTATCTTGTCTTAGGCAAAACATTAGTTGTAACACTGTCCAAGTCCCAGATGGGGCAAGTGCTACCTGAGGGCTGTGGCAGTATAGTTTAATACCCAGCCCTGCCTACCCCTGCCCTTAACCCACCCTCAACCTAGGCTATACTATTTGCCCAATCCAGGCCTATAGGCCCTGGCTTTGGATACAGAACAGAAGGATATACCCACTCTTGGGATTTGCCCTTTGGATCTGAAAGAAATTTACAGATATCTTCCCTCTCTGAAAATGGGCGGGCAGGTAGAATGACCTTGTCAGGCTGGGGTAGGAGAGAGAAGAATCTCAGGTCACTCATACCCTTCTTGCCACTCTCCTGGCCCCTGCAGATGGACACCCTAGAGCCTATGGGAGACAACATCAGTGGCATGGCCCGCTGCCCCTATGATCCTAAGCACGCCAATGTTGCCCTATTCTCTGGTGAGTGCCCATGGCTTGCAACTCTGGTGGGTGTCAGGCTCAGCCTCAGACCAGGGTTGAGGTTCAGTGCGAGGCCACTGGTCAGCCCTTAGATCCCTTAGGTCCCCTGGTAAAATAGACCCAACCACCAACCTTCTATGTGCACCCCCCCTTATGGAGAAATTTTTGCATAAAGGCCAGCTAAGCCAAATCCATTTCCCCCATCCCTTCTGTCTGTGTATTAACCTGGTTGTTATTGTTAGTAGTGGTGGTGGTGGTGGTATAGTGGTGGTGGTGGTGGTGGTCCTTTGTTCTCAAAGAGGACCGTAACATCAGAGAGGTGATGCCATGACATGCAAAGGAACTGGATTTAAGTGAGAGATGGATGTGCAAGGTCACCAGCCTCACTTTCTCCTCTGGAGCCATCTGGGTCCAGTGACAAGATATAGATCAGGACAACTGGAGATGACCCAGAATGCAATGGGAGACCTTGGCCTTTTCAAGCTGAGGTCTTTAACAGGTCTCAGTTTGACTGAGGCAACACCCACACTGGTGAGCCAAGAGGAAAGGGCTCACCCATTGCACGGCTGGGAGAAAGGCCCATAGATGGGTGAATGGCTACTGTAGGCTTAGACAGCTCATACTGTGGGCCAGGGGAGGGCTCACCCATTGCATGCACAGTTTGGTGAGTACTTAGAACCTGGACATCCCTAACTCCACTTCTTTGCCTCTCCCTCATTCCCACCCAGGTGGGATGCTTTTCACAGCTACAGTCACTGACTTCCTGGCCATTGATGCCGTCATCTACCGAAGTCTGGGTGACAGCCCCACACTCCGAACAGTCAAGCATGATTCCAAGTGGTTCAAAGGTGGGAAGCGGGGGAGGGGGAAAGGGAAGGCATCTCAGACTGCATGCCCTACCATAATAAGAGTCTTTAGTGATGATGGATAAAAGGTTCAGCTCTTCACATGATAGGCCTGGGAGTCAAAGTCTTGGCAGGATGATCTCTGAAGTCCTTTCATTATACAATTTGACCCCCTCTCCCTACCCCCACCCCTCATAAAAAAATTCCCTTATCATTAAAAGTCCCCTTTCCCCCTCGGCTGCCTAGTCCAATTCTCTCATGTGTCATAAAAGCTCTCCCCCCAGGAAGTGTCTCACCCACCTCATGGGAAGGGCTAAGCCTTGACCTCTCCTCTCTTCCCCTCATCTCATCCCTTGACTCACAGAGCCTTATTTTGTCCATGCCGTGGAGTGGGGGAGTCACGTGTATTTCTTTTTCCGAGAGATTGCTATGGAATTCAACTACCTGGAGAAGGTGAGTCCCTGACTGGGGAGGAGAAGCAGGGCCATAGCAAGACAAACACTTCCCTGAAACAAGCTTTGGGGCCTCCAGTGCCTGAGGTCTAGCCGGAGTAGTCACCCTAGCAAGTTTGTAGTGTGCCCAGGCCAGAGCTAGTTACTGTAGGGGAAGAATAAGGGCCTCTTCTATTCATGCTGGGTCTAATGTTTTCCAAATAACTTTCATATCTATTATCTCAGCGGATCCTCCCAATGTCCTTGGGAGGCAGTGCAGGGATTATTCACCCCATTTTACAAATAAGGAAACTGAGGCTCCAGAGAGGGGAAGTGACTTGAAAAAGTGACACATTAGTAGCAGAAATAGGACCAGAACCCAAAGCTCTTTCCCCCACATCACCCTTGTGTGTCTCTCCATTAAAGGAAAAAACCACTCCCAGATTCCCAAACCCTCAGAACTGTAAAGGTTCTGGTCCAACTCCTCTGTTTACTGATAAGAAAGCTGAGGCTCAGAGAAAGGAGTGACTTGCCTAAGGTCGTACAGTGAGTCAGTGACATTGCCAGGATGTTAACACAATTCCTCTGACTTCAAGTCTGGGTTCTTTATATAAGACTGCTTTCTCTGACTGATTCCTATTATGTGGGAGTTCAAGGCAGCAGAGAAGTGGGCCGGCAGCAAATCTGAGTTTGAATCTTACTTAGCTCTGTCATTTACTAGTAGTCTGATTCTAAGCAAGTCACTTAACCTATGTGGACCTCAGTTTCCTTATCTGTAAAATAAGGAAGAACAAATTAGATTATTTTTAAGGTTCCCTTAGTTCAATGATTCTAGATTTAAATAGAAGGTTGGGGTTTGGGGTGAAGGTTGTGGCAGAGAGAGTGCTGTTCAACTTTTAATTTCATCTGGCTAGAGAACTCTGGTTATTCAAGGCAGAGTAGGTCAGGGAATGGATGGGATATGTGACCCACCAGGGCTACCCCGTAGGTTGTGGTGTCTCGTGTGGGCCGCGTGTGCAAGAATGATGTGGGTGGCTCCCCTCGAGTACTGGAGAAGCAATGGACCTCCTTCCTCAAGGCCCGACTCAACTGCTCTGTGCCCGGAGACTCCCACTTCTATTTCAACGTCCTCCAGGCCGCCACTGGCATCCTCAATTTGGGAGGCCGGCCTGTGATCCTGGCCCTCTTTTCTACCCCCAGCAACAGGTCATTAGAACAGGGGATGGCGCTAGATGGGCCCCAATTCATAGCCTTGTTAGCTGCGTGTCCTTCAGCTCCAGTGCCTCAAGGCTGAGTGGAGGACTCTGGCTTCCCCTCCATGTGGCTGCCCAAACCTTTCTCTGTCCCCGCTGAGGCCCCTCAGGGCACACCTCCCTTGAGTGGCTTATGCACTCTATGCTCCTAGCCCTCACCCCAACTTTGCATGTCATCCCTCCTCTCCTACCCCAACTTCAACTCTTCATGTCCTCAGATCCCCAAGCACTTAACTCTCAAGTCCTTAAATTCTCCATGTCCCTAACTCACCGCCAGTCCTTAATTCCCTTGTGCCCTCCAGCCTTGGCCCCAGCTTCCTGTCTCTGATTCTGTTGTGATCTCTCCATCCTCATATCCCTCTCCCCCACAGTATCCCTGGCTCGGCTGTCTGCGCCTTTGACATGGGCCAGGTGGCAGCTGTCTTTGAGGGCCGCTTTCGGGAACAGAAGTCACCAGAGTCCATCTGGACCCCAGTGCCTGAAGAGCTGGTACCTAAGCCTCGGTAAGTCAGTCAATAATCGGTCAGTAAGCATTTAAGCACAAACTATGTGCCAGGCACTGTGCTAAGTTCTGGGGATACAAAGAAAGGCAAAAGACAGTCCCTGCTCTCAAGAAGCATATATTCCAAGGGGGAAAACAGCACATAAACAACATGATACATGGACAGCAAGATATATGCAAGATCAGCTGGAAATAACAGATTGAAGGCACTAGAATTAAGGGGGATTAGAAAAGGCATCCTACAGAAGGTGGGGTTCTAGCTGGGCCTTGAAAGAACCCAGGGAAGCTAGGAGGTGGCTCTTGGCCCTGCCCTTAATGCCAGGCAGCCATGGAAATAGACCAAAGACTTGGCTAGAATTCGGGTCACAGAAAAATCAGAGCTCCTAATCTAGATCTTCTAATCTAGAGGTTCTTAATGTGAGGTCAAGGAACTTTTAAAAAAATTTCCTTGACAACTATATTTTAATATAATTGGTTTCCTTTGTAATCCTTGTGTCTTATTTTATGCATTTAAAAATGTTATTCTGAGAAGGGGTCCACAGGTTTCAAACAGATGGCTAGAAAGGGCAAGTAACATCTCCCGGGTCACATGGAGCCATAAGTGGCAAAGCCTAGATTTGAGCCCATGCCCCCTGACCCCTTGACTCCCAGCCCAAGACACCAGCTCAGTGGAAGCAGCGTATGAGCCCTCTGAACCCCGACCAATCCCTAACCTTCCTCCTCGTCCCTCAGGCCTGGGCTCTGTGCAGCCCCTGGAATGCCCTACAATGCTTCCAGTGCCTTCCCCGATGAGATCCTCAACTTTGTCAAGACCCACCCCCTTATGGATGAGGCAGTCCCTTCCCTGGGCCACGCCCCCTGGATTGTGCGCACCCTTGCCCGGTGAGTGCCTGGGGAAGAGGGGGGACTCATCATTCTATTCATGTCATCAAGTATTACTGTGTATGTTCTTCTAAGTCGAATGTTGACTATTACCTTTGTCAGTGGTATAGGGGGTGGGGAGGGACAGTGTCAGCTCACAGCTGTATTGGCATGCATGCATGTTGGCATATATGTATCAGCACATATGTGTTATTCAGGAAATATTTGTGACATGCCTACTGCGTACAGAGTCCAGTGCTCAGTGCTAGGGGAGATACAAAATTTAGCTAAGAGAGGGTCCCTGCCTTTATGGAGTTCACAGTCAGCAATAGGGGAATAAATCACAATCTCAGAAGAGATTAATAATACTCAGATGAGATTAATAATACTGCAGCAGAGTCAATAAACATTTATTCAATAAACATTCAATAAACATTTATTAAGCACCTACTAAGTTCCAGGCACAGTGTTAAGCGCTAGAGATACAACCACAAATAAAAACAAAGACTGTCCCTGCCCTCAACGGACTTACAATCTAATTAATCTAAAACAACACACCAAAGGAAATGGAAAAGCAAGGAGAGGGGGATGGTGAGGTCCAGAGGCATGAAAAGCTGGGTGAGAAATGAAGAGGGGAGAGCAAAGTATAGTGAGAGATTGGAGGGAGAAGGTTTTTACTGACAAAAATAAAAGAGGCTGTTTGGGGGAGGGGGTCAGGCAATGCTAGGAATTCACCAGGATAAGACCAGGAGAGAGGACATCATAGCCATGGGGGAATAGTGGCAACCAAGGCAAGGAGGCTGGAAAGGCTAGGCCAGGTTTGGAAACAGAAAATTTCCCAGTTTGACTACAGGCGAGTAATGAGATGAGGCTGGAAAGGTGTGTGGGGGAGGGAGGTGCCTTAAATGTCAGGTGGAAAAATTTGAACTTTACCTGGTAAGCTCTAAGGAACCACTGAAGATATTTGGATAGAGAGGAGGAACATGACCAGATGAGAGATGATTCTGGCATTGCTACGTTGGCTAGATTGGGAGGGTGTGTGAAGGTGGGAAGGTCTCTTTGGAGGTCTTTGCATGGCCAAGATTAGGATAGAAGCAGAGAGAATAGAAGGGAGTGGGTGGATGCCAGGATTGTCCATAGGTAAATTCAGTCAGACTTGGTAAAAGATTGGATGTGTGTTGGGGGTGGAGGAAAGGGAAGAGTCTAAGATGATTCCAACTTTAGGAACATGGGAGCCTGGGTGAATGTACTTCCATTAGGAGAAATACAAAAGCCGGGAGGAGAATTGGATGTAGGGGGAACAATGAACTTGGTTTGGGGTGTGTCTGAGTGTATTGGTATGTACATATATTGTGTGGGTATTTAATGATCCACACATTTTTCAAGTGCCTAATCTGTGCAAAGAAAGGCATTGTATTATCATGGTTTATTGGCATGTATGGTTATATCAGTGCACACATATTTATATGTGGGTGTCCTGGGTAGATGTAATGGACTGTGTGAGCCTCTGGCAAGGTCCAATGGTCTTGTGTGCCCATTAAAGTGTGCTCATCTGAGTAAGGCAGGTATGCAGCGGTCCCTTGGTGGGCATGGCCAGGGAGGAAGCCAACCAGGCTCTGACCTTCCTTCCTTTCTCTGGGCACCAGGCACCAGCTGACCCGAGTAGCTGTGGACACCAGTGCAGGGCCCTGGGGGAACCAGACCGTTGTGTTCCTGGGTTCTGACACGGGTACTGTGCTGAAGTTCCTAATCCGACCCAGCAGCAGCTCCCGAGGTCCTACCGAGCAGAGCATCTTTCTGGAGGAATTTGAGACCTACCGGCCTGACAGGTGGGGGCATGCTGGGAGGGGCCTGCTGGAGGGGTGGGGGTATGCTTGAGTTTGCCCCCGGCCCTCTGAGCTGTGGCAGCCACAGCCTCCTTAGGAGCTTGCCAGGATTGGCAGGGAGGGTTGCTTCTTAGAACAGTCCCAACCCCCAGCCCAAACTTTCCCCTTCCCCGTTGACTACCTGCCTGACCCAGAGCCCAGCTGATTCTATTTTCTGCCAGGTGTGGACGTGGCCCTGAGGAGAGCCGGAGGCTTTTGAGTCTGGAGATTGACCCCACAGCCGGTGCCCTGCTGGTGGCCTTCCCTCGGTGTGTGGTCCGTGTGCCCGTGGCCCGCTGTCAGCAGCACTCGGGCTGCATGAAGTGAGTTTCTGTGAACCTAGGGCTACTCTTGAGTTTGGGCACCACCTCACCTGGGCCTGGAGGTCAGGGTTACCTGGATCCTCCAGGAGCCCTGGGGAAGCAGAGGTATAAGGGAACTATGGAAAAATTGGAGGCTTGGGGGAGGCCTGGGAGACAGGCCCCTGATACAATGACTAAAGAAGGCAGCTTGAATCTCTGACTCCCTCTCCTCTCCTCTCCCCCACCCCTTTCCTTCCTGCCCTCCAGGAACTGCATTGGCAGCCAGGACCCCTACTGTGGCTGGACACTGGATGGCTCCTGCATCTTCCTGGCCCCAGGCACCAGGTAAAGGGCAAGCTGAGGAAGAGGGTGCCTACACCTCTCTGTGCATCACATGAGACTACTTGGGGCCCAGAGTGCCCTCAAGGCTTCCCTGGAGAGAAAGGGGAGATAGAAATGGTGTTTTGTGGCCTGAGTGTATGTGTCCCTGAGCCTAGGGGCCTGACATCGTGGTCCAGTAGGCAAAGTGTGTCAGGGGATCTGGATTCAAGTCCCTTTTCCAACATTGAAAGCAGGACCACGGGGTTGCTAACTGTCTTGCTTAGAGTAGGTGTTTATAGATGGTGATTGAAATTGAATTGAATTGCGTTTACTCCACTGGCCCCATTTCACAGATGGGGAAACTGAGCCTCCAAGAGGATAAGTGACTGGCCCAATGTCCCCCGGGTGACAATGAACAGTGCCTAAACTTCTCCTGTGTACAGAGCTCTGGCCCAGGAGTCAGGGATGAGGTCAGGTTAATGAAGACAGTCTCTGACCTCAAGCAGATTGCAGTTTAATAAATGTCAGGACCAGGATTCATAAGGTCGTAAGATTTAGAGCAGAGAAGGAACTCCAGTCTAACCCCCTCATTTGAGAGTTGAGGAAACAGGGCCAGGGAATTTGAGTGACTTGCTCTGAGTCACACAGCCGAGTCAGGGGCCTAACCCAGACCCTCTGCCTCTAAGTCGTGGTTCTTCAGCCACCCTGGCTGCCTTATGTAGCTGTACTGTTCTCCCCAAGTTAATTCACCTCTTCTTGTTGTCATTCAGTCATTTCAGTTACGTCTGACTCTTCAAGACCCCATTTGGGGTTTTCTCAACAAAAGATACTGGAGTGGTTTGCCTCTTCTTCTCCAGTTCATTTTACAGATGAGGAAACTGAGGCAGACAGGACTAAGTGACTTGCCCAGGGTCACCCAGTAAATGTGTCTGAGGCCAGATTTAAACTCAGGAAGATGAGTCTTCCCGACTCCAGGCCTGGCGCTCCATCCACTGCACCACCCAACCACCTAACTCATCTCGAAGAGTCCCATTTTCCTCCTTTGTAAGACAGAGAAGTCACAACATGAGGACCAGGTTCACGGGTTGATCTTGAGGAAAGCACTTTTGTAAGTCTTGAAGTATCACTGAAATGGGAGCAGGGATTTCCAAAGAGACAAGCCCAGCAGCTTTGGGGCCCGTTCTTTAGCCCTCCTTGGTGGCCACCCTATGTCCCCACCCAGCCCCTAACGTCAGAGGACTGAAGAAGCAGAAGAATGGACCTGGGGTCCGAAGGCTTTGACCTCAGACAAGTCCCGCAGTTTGCCAGGGCTTCAGTTTTCTCATATGTCAGATGAGGAGTCTGGCCCTGACCTCCAAGTTTCCTTCTAGCTCTAAATCTGTGATAAAATGATAAACTTGTTTCAGATACAAGAAGAAAAGGATGTAAATGACAGGGGAAGGGACTCTGTAGTATTCCAAACCCTCCCTTTCTCCACCCGCACCCCACAGCACAGCTAGATGGCACAGCAGATAGAGTGCGAACTTTGGGTCAAGAGGACCCAAGTTCAAATCTGGCCTTAAACAAAAGCTGTGTGACCCTAGGCAAGTCACTCGATAATTTGTTTGCCTCTGTTTCCTCATCTGTAAAATGAAGATAATAACAGCAGCTATCTCTCAGGGTTATTGTGAAGATTGAATGAGATAATGATTGTAAAGTGCTTGACACAAGTGCCCGGCACATAGTAGGTGTTTAATAAATAGTCATTTCTTCCTTCTGTCCCACAGGGCTACCTTTGACCAGGATATCTCTGGAGCCAGCACATCTGGCTTAGGGGACTGTACTGGTGAGTGCTTGAAGGTTAGGGATGGGGCCTGACCTAACCCAATGTGGCAACATCTCCTGAGGAAGGGAAACTTTATGAGCCTGCCCCCAATTCCCCTCCACCCCTACCCTAGCATCTCACCCCACACTTATCTGAGCCCTGGTCAAAGGGGCGGGGGAGGAGATCCTAGCCTGTACCCATCATGCTCGGTGCTGCCTATGTCTGACCAAGCCTGTTGAGGCACTGAGGCTCTCAGGGCTAGGAGATGGACATAGAAGGAGACAGCTGCCAAGGCAAATGGATAGAGACAAGCTAAGAGATGCTAAGGGCAATTGTTGATTGTTGAGGACCATAGGTAAGGCAGACTGATGCTAAAACAAGCTAAGACAGACGAGGAAAGGCAGTGGGTTGGAAGTTTCCCTTTTCTCTGTTCTCATCAGCCCCAGTTTAGCCCCTGGAATTTCACTTCTTTGGCCAGAAGGAAGGTAGGCAGGCTGGTGCCATCTGCTTGGGTCTTACCCCTCCCACCCCTGCTTGCCTCCCACATCTGTCCCAGGGCTCCTTCGGGAAAGCTTCATGGAGGAGCGGGCTGGCCTCGTGTCTGTGAACTTGTTGGTGACTTCCTCAGTGGCTGCCTTTGTCATTGGGGCCGTGGTCTCAGGCTTCAGTGTCTGCTGGTTTGTGGGGCATCGAGACCGACGGGAGTTGGCTCGCCGCAAGGACAAGGAGGCGATCCTGGCACATGGTGGGGAGGGCCAGGTGGTGAGCGTGAGCCGCCTGGGTGAGCGGCGTGGGGGAGCCGGGCCCCGGGCCGGGCCCCCTGAGACCCTGCTGGCCCCCCTCATGCAGAATGGCTGGCCCCAAGCAGCCTTGTTGCAGGCTGGCCAGCATGAACTCGCCTCAGGCCTCCTGCCCACCCCTGAGCAGACACCGCTGCAACAGAAACGCTGCCCCGGCGCACTGCAGCGACGTGGCTGGGAGCAGAGTCAAGGAGTCCTGCACACTGTCCTCCGGGAGCCCTCTGGAAATGCCCCGTCCCTTGGTGCTGCCTCCTCCTCTTCCTCTTCCATCATCCTGCTGCACCCTGGTGGTGGCGGGCATGGGCCAGACCCAGAGGCAGTTGGCGATGTGCGTTTCCTGCCCTCAGCGATGGTGGGGGGCCGGGACCAGGTGGGTGGGGTGGCCCCCTCCCAAACCAGGCCAGGCCGGGCCTCTTACGTCGACTTCCCTATCACACCCCATGCCAGCCCTGATCGGCGGCGGGTAGTTTCAGCACCTACGGGCCATCTGGACCCAGCCACTGACAGCCTCTCCCGGCCCTGGAGCCCTCCCACAGGAAGCCTGACAAGGAGTGGCCCGGCTGCCCCGGCCCTGCGGCGTACACACACCTTCAACAGTGGCAGTGGCAGCAGTGAAAGTCGCCCAGGGGAGCCCCACCACACCCGGCGCCCCCGCCCGCTCACAGACTTTGCCCGCTTGCTCCCCTACGGGCCTGAGAGGACTGCACCCCCTGTGCAGTAAAGAGTCAGGGGACACAGCCCATAGATGCCCCTCAATACCCTCCTGGCCTCCACTTCCCTGGCAAGGGGACCCAGGCACAGAGCCCGCCAGCCCGGGCACAGGAAGAAGCTGGCCAGGCAAAAGATGGCTCCCAGGCCCTCATTAAAGCAACAGCCAGCCCTGGTCCTCCTCAGAGCAGGGTGCTCATGGGGAGTTGGGGTTCCTTCTCACATCGGCCCTCCGCGTCACCCCCAGGGAGCTACACAAGAAGCACAAGAGCGTTGATCCCTTCCCTTGGGGGTTGGAAGAAGCTGTGCTGGTCTGGGGTGGGAAGGATTTGGAGTCGGAGGATTTGGGTTCAAATCCCAGCTCTGCCTCTGACTAGCTTTGTGACTGTGGGCAAGTCATCTAACCTCTTGGGGCCTAAGGGTCCTTGTCTGTAAAATGAGGGACTAGATTGGACTAGATGGCGTCTCGTTCCCTTCCAGCTCTAAACCCGATGATCCCTATGCCTGGAGACTGGCCCATAATTTCCTATTTGCCATTCTCCTGATTGATTTTTTTTCTTTTTCTTTTTTTAATGAATTGCACAATCTTGGGCTCAGTGGGACAGGCCAAGGAATTGCCCCCTGCCCAGGGGCCATGGCCTGGACAGAGCCTCCCCTCCCTTGCCCCGGGTATACCTCCCCCACCAAATGTTCCCTTCGGCCAGGGGTCCTATGAGTTGGGTGTGCGTGTGTGTGTGCGTATGTGTGTATGTGTGTGGGGGTCGGTGGGTAGGTATATGTGTGTGTGAGTGTGTGCATGCCCATGTCCATTTTGGAGGAAGGGGGCAGTGGGAGAGGGCCACTGCTGGTATGTTGTGCTTGTGGGGCTGTCTCAGACAAGGGGGCATAGATACAGGTGGGGGCGGGGAGCCATCTTTGTGACTTTTAGCCAACCAGGGGCAGAGCCTGAGGACGCATGGTAGGTATCTAGCAGGTGGTCCTGGTATCTGGCAGGAGGTCAAGGCTTGACATGGCTCAGACTCTGCAAGGGAGCAGTTCTGAGTTCGGATCCCACCCCCTCAGGGAAGAGAGGGGTATGCCTGCCAGCTCTGGGAGAAGCTTTGGTCTTCACTTCTCCCATTCCAGTCCAGCCTCCCCCTTCTCCCCCTCACCCCTCACTCCATGCTCCCGACACTGCAGCCATTGCTGTCTAAAGGGCTCTGGTTTGGTGTGGCTCAGAGGAGGGGGCCCTGGGGGTCAGGGCCAGTAGCCATGTACCCCTGTAAATAGGGTCCCAGGGTAGGGAGAGGGCCCCCAACACCTCCCATCCTCTCGTGACCTGTGACCTTCCACCTTTGACCTGCAGGTCATGCATGCAACAGCTGTGCTCTGTATTAACTCTGGAATTAGCCTTCTCCCCCTGACCCCCAAATAAAACTCTGTTTACAACACCCACTGCTTGGGCCCTCTCTTTGGCTCTCATCCGCCTGACTAGCTGATGTGGTGGATCCCAGGGCTGTGGGTATGTGGCTGGGGGCCCACACCGAAAAGGAGTTGTGAGTCAGGGGCCCTGGGTTTGGGTCCAGGATTTGCCATCTGTGTGACCTTGGACAAGTCACTTCTGAGCTTCAGTTTTTTCACCTGTGAAATGAGGATAATAATACTCACGCTACCTACCTCACAGGATAGTTGGATGGAAATCAGTCCGAAGTTGATAAAGTGCTATCGAAATATAAACTATTTTTATTATCATTATTTAACTGTGGCAGCAGCGATATAAGGGTAGTTGGTGCCTATGCCCTAGGGTACTCTGCTGCTCAGTCACACAGGCTCCTATCCTGGGGTAACTGGAAGGCTGAGGGCACCATGTTCTTCTTCCACCCCTCTGTGAACGTGGAACTCGAGGATGGGGTGGATGGAGCCAGAGCTGGGAGGGACCTTATGTCATAGGATGGTGGAGCTGGGAGAAGCCTTAAAACAGAATGTCAGATCTGAGAGGCCTTAGAACTCTTGGCATTTAAAACCCTCCCAAACCTGGCTCCCACTCACCTTTCATCATGGGCCAGTCAAACTTGTGAGAGGCTTCCTCACAAATGAAGCTTCACCTCCCCTCTCTGAGCCTTTGTACAGACAGTCCCCCATGCCGGGAATGCCCTCCCTCTTTACTGCAGCCTCTTAGGATCCCTAAGATTTCCTTCAAATCGCAGCTCGAATGCCACCTTCCTACAGGAAACCACGCTCCTCTCCCCCAGTGGCTCTGGCCTCCCCTATCCCCCAGATTCCCTTGGGTTTATTTTGTATGCATTTCACAGGTTCCATAGATTCAGAGCTGGAAGGAACCTGAGAAGCTAATGGTCCACGCCTCTCATTTTGTAGATTAGGAAACCGAGGCCCAGGGAAATGAAATGATCTGTCCAATGTCATCAGTGGTGGGATTTGGATCCAGTTTGTCTGACTCCAGAGCCAACATGCTTTCCTTTCTTCTTTCTTTCTTTTTTTTTTTTTTTTTTTTTTGGTATTGGTCAAGGAAGTTCCCTCACCAGGACCTCCTTAACACCAGTGAAATCACATGTCTGGTCAAAACATACTTTGTAAATATTTACTTTGTATTTATTTATATGTATATATGTTGTACATGTTGTCTTCTATAGAATGTAAGCTCCTTGAGGGCAGGGACTGTTTCCTTTTTGTCTGCATATAGTAGGCACTCAATAAACACTGGTTGATTGATTGAACATAGAATGTCAGAACTGGAAAGGTCCTTGGTACATAGAATATCCTAGCTAGAGGGGACCTTGGAACACAGAAGGTCAGAAGAGCAACTGTTGAACAAATAATGAAGTCAGAGCTGGAAGGGACCTCCTTAAGCTATCCGCCCCAACTCCAATTTACAGAGGGGGAAACTGAGTCCCAGAGAGGGCAAGTCACAAAGTCACACAGAGATATGGCAGGGCTGGGAGTGGACTGAAGGTCTTCTGATACTCTCCTCATTGAAATACAGTGGGCCACCTGTGTGTGTCTGTGTCTGTGTCTGTATGTGTGTCTTAAATGTTTCCACGTCCATGTGTATATGTGTATATGAAACTGAAGAAGGGTGTGGGTCTGATGTTCTGAGAACTGGGCATCATTATCACTGAGCTCATTTGAAGAGAAGACTAGACTACCAAGTCATTCCTGTGGAACAATCAGAGAGAAGGAACAGAACAGTAACAGAGCGCGGAGATTAACCACAGGCTTCCTCCCCCATTCAGGGCCTCATTTTCCTGCTCTGTAAAATGATATCTTCACCTTCACCCTCCTCTTCCTTCTCAACAGTGTATGAGGATCATATAATCACAAAATGGTAAGAGTTTGGAAGGGTACCTAGAGGATATTGAGTTCAAACATCCTCACTTTACAAATGTGGAAACTGAGTCCCAGAGAGGGAAAGTGACTTATTCAAAGACACATAGTGAGTCCGTGGTAGAACAGACACCAGATCTCAGGCATCCTGACTCCTAGGCCAGAGTTCTTTACACTGCACCTCATTGTCTCTGTCTGATGGCTCAGACACGGGAGTATGGGGGGCGGGCACCCAGGTAAGAAGGTGGTTACATAAATGACTAGCTAGAAGGAATCCGTTGGGGCCTCAGATGGGAAGGGGAGGCCCATCTATTTCTCCAGGAACAGAGACCAGGAAGCAGCAATTTCTCGGTGACCAACAGCTCTGGCCCCCATGGCAATGATGAAATCCCATGGGACAGACTCCAAAGTAAAGAACAGAAAAGAACCCTGCACCCACAGCCTTGACCCGGGTTCTTCTGGTTCCGGTGCGAATTCTGATGTGTAACTTTGCAAGACACTTGCCTCACTGGGCTTCTGCTCATTGTCTCATCTACCAAATGAGGAGGGTTGAGCAAGATGAGCCCTCAGGGCCCCCCCAGAGACATTCTTTATTCTAAGAGTCCTTCCAATACTGACACTCTCTGCTCTAAGGGCTCTCTCCCTCCACCACCACCACCCCAGCTCTAACACTCTCCGTTCTCAGTTCCAAGCCCCACCCTCCCCCCCTACCCTCAGCAATATGTTCTAAGAACCTTCCATGCCATGACTGTCTGTGTTCTAAGGTCCTCATTGGCTGAAGTTCTATGTTCTATGGACTCTTCCAGTGCTCGTGTTCTAGGGTCTTCTCCTCCACCACCACCCCTCCATCTCTTTGTCCCCAGGATCCTGAAACTTGGATTTATGCCCTTGCAGAGGATGGGAGGAAAGGGCATGTGACCTTCAAACTAGGGATAAAATCTAGGAGAAATCTTGATGGTTAACCCCAAGGGTGACACCTATTCTGGGAAGTCTCCTCCCCTTTCTCTTCCCCCCATCTGGGCAATGATTTCACAAGCAACCACAGAGGCCCTGAACTGGAACATGCCAGGGTGGCTAGGGATTCTACAGCAGCGTCCTTCACTGTCTCCTGCCCCACCTACCTTTATATAAAGTCTCTACCGCAGGAAGGCTCCAGAAAGAAAAACCAGTGAGCAGTAACTGAACAGACAGACGCTATGTTCTCCTATAATTCAGAGCCTGGCCAAAGGTAAGGACACAGGGGCACGCACAAGGATAAACACATCTGACTCACCAACAGACCTATAGTGCCACACACAAATACAAAGGCAAAAACACAAATACAGAAAAAGACAAGGCAATGCACGCCTTAGCACAGAGACAAATGAGACAGAAATACAGACACACACACACACAAACGTAGAGACAACTAGTGTGCATGCATGCCCATGCACACACACACACACACACACACACACACACACACACACGTGGACACATTCAGGAGACCATGAGGTGGGACAGAAGGGAGGGACCCAATTAAGGGTAGAAGTGGGAGGGGGACCTTAATCAGGAAAGCTGGGAATGGAGACAAGGGAGCAAGAGAAGGGGAAGAAGGGAGTTTCTGGGTCCTGTCCAGCTTCTTAGGGAGATGGTAAGGGACAGGGCCATTAGCTAGGATACCCCAGTGCCTCCCTCTAGACCATATGGCTTAGACACTGACTAACTAATTGACTTTAAGTCACTTCCCCCCTTTGGTCCTCAGTTTCCTGTCCTGTAAAATGAAGGGATTGGATTAGTCTCCTTCAGCTTTGGTACTGTGAATTCTAAGAACTCTGAGCAGTTGAGAAAGGGTAACAGGGAGGGATTCCCGGAGAAAGTGATGCTTCAGGAATAATATGGCTGGAAAGAAAGGGAAAGTCTGGGGGGGAATGTGGAGAGGACATTCTGACTGAAGGGAACCGAAGATGAGCTAAAACACTAAGGTCAGTGGTAAGAAGAGTGATAGCTTCCTCCAAATTATGTTGTGTGGTGGGGAGGGCAGGGAGTAGAAACACGACAG